ATTTTAATATATATATATATATATATATATATATATATACACATACATGTAAATATTTGTAAAATATATACACGTATGTTTGTGTATTTATATATAATAAATAATATATTTTGTAAACCAATTTTTTTAATTTGGTTGCGATTAATCGCGATCGTGATTATTATTCTAATTACATAAGAATTCGTTACAAAAGAATTCGCAAAATACTATTTAAAAAGGTTTATAGTTCATGGAATAATTATCATAACATTTTGATTTGCTGTTTGAACTCTTATTCTGACGGCACCCATTCACTGCAGAGGATTCATTTGTCAGCAAATCATGTAATACTAAATTTTTACGGTAACACTTTACAATAAGGTTCCATTAGTTAATGTTAGTTAATGTATTAACTAACATGAACCAACAATGAACAATACATTTATTACAGTATTTATTAATCTTTGTTAATGTTAATGAAAATACAGGTGTTCATAGTTAGTTCATGTTAGCTCACAGTGCATTAACTAATGCTAACAAGCACAACTTTTGATTTTAATAATAAATTAGTAAATGTTGAAGTTAACATTAACTAAGATTAATAAATGCTGTAGAACTATTGTTCATGCTTAGTTCATGTTAACTAAAGTAGTTAACTAATGTTAACTAATAAACCTTATTGTAAAGTGTTACAATTTTTCCAAATCTGTTCTGCTGAAGAAACAAACTTATCTACATTTTGGTTGGCCTGAGGGTGAGCCAATTTTTTTTTTTACATATTTTCATTTTTGGGTGAACTACTATATATGTGACCCTGGACCACAAAACCAGTCTTAAGTCGCTTGGGTATATTTTTTAGCAATAGCCAAAAAAACATTGTATGGGTCAAAATTATAGATTTTTCTTTTATGCCAAAAATCATTAGGATCATGTTCCATGAAGATATTTTGTAAATTTCCTACCGTAAATATATCAAAACTTAATTTTTGATTAGCAATATGCATTGCTAAGAACTTCATTTGGACAACTTTAAAGGCGATTTTCTCAGTATTTAGATTTTTTTTGCTCATTCAGATTCCAGATGATCAAATAGTTGTATCTCGGCCAAATATTGTCCTATCCTGACAAACCATACATCAATGGAAAGCCTATTTATTCAGCTTTCAGAAGGTGTATAAATCTCAATTTAAAAAAATTGACCCTTATGACTGGTTTTGTGGTCCAGGGTCACATATAGTTCTATAACTATATATAACTGTTCTATAATTATTATATATAGTTATATACAGTATATAAGGGTAGGTTTGTCGTTTTCAACCAGCTTTGTATTGTTACAATGTCGGTAGTAGTATATGTAAATGAACAATGTGTACTTCTTCTCCGTGTGATCTGCATCAAGTCATCCCTGTTTATTTGTCAGCAAAAGTCCACTGGACGATGGCTGTATCCGAAATCGCCCCCTATGCCCTTATATAGGGCACTATTTGAGGGGACAGCCATTTTTAGTGGTGTCCGAAACCATAGTGCATGTTCTCGAGTGCACTCATTCAATCCCACAATGCACCGCAAAAATGAGTGTACAACTGGTGCCTGCTCAGTGGATAGAGTATACCCATAATGCACTGTGAGAGTCAGGCGCCGAATTAATTCCTGCGTCGCGCCAGAAGATGGCGCCTGCAGCTGAATAATCAATCTGTTCATATTACAAAGTGCTCATCCATGGTGTACAGCATAATACAACACAGGTATAAATTCATTGTAAACTGATTATTAAATTGTTTAATTAGGGTTTATACATAATTGCCGTGACAGAGTTGAAGATACATCTTTTAATCTTACTACTGGAGCTGCTAGTTTGCCAGTTTCAAATGATTATTAAACAGCAAGCACCAACTATGCAAAAGCGGCAGTCCTTCCGGTGCACTCAGTGTCCGAATTCACTCACTCGTTTTCATTCACTCCTTAATTAGTGACCTAATGTAGGGAATAGTGAATGAGGGTATAGGGGGCGATTTCGGATTCAGCCGATGTAAAACATATCATTCAGCAGACTTTTGACAGCTCCAGGGCTTTTGTGAAAACTGCAGACTGTACTTCTGCATACTTCGGATATTCTTTCCAAAATTAGTTGTTTTAAGCCAATTAAGGCCCCCGATATACTCAAAACGAAGTTCTTTTTCGTTCTTCGTTTAGGGGTAAAACGAAGTTCGAAATACGTGAGCAGCGGTATACTGTTATCGAACATCCCGACGCTGCCCACTCTGATGAAAGCGACGTTTAAATTAATATGTAAATACTGTATGTGCTGCGTGCTTTCCTCTCAGTAACAAAATAAAAACAACAAAAATGGAGAGAACAGCAAGCATTTTTTATAAAAAAAGCATCTGTTCATAGCAACATGGGTATGCTTGCACGAGCTCTGCAAATTAGCACTCCCGTGAAGTCATGTCACGTGTATTTACATGGCACTTTATTCAATATATTGCTTAAAAGCAATCAGCAGTATTAAACATGAAAATCGGTGTCAGTGGCTCATTTCATCAAAAGCAAAACTTAATTTGCTACTATAAAGCGGCTCTGCACTGCACGGACATCTCACCTCCAAGGACTCGACAGATGAAATGAACCCAGAGAAGAGTTCCGCGTGAAAGAAGGCGGAGCCTCAGTGCACACCTCCTATGACGTAATCGTCACGGACCAATGGTAGTACGAAGGTGTTTGGCCGCCAGAACGAACTTTTCCGGAAGGTTCGCTTTGGCAAGCCATTTCGAACTCCCAAAACGAACACAAAACGAACTTCGCTTTGGCCGGATTTTGTTCGAAATGACGTCACATCAGTTCATTCTTCGATTTCGCTTGAAGTATATCGAGGCCTTTAGTGGGACACCGCCTTAAGCAGTTTTTTTTTATATAAACTTTTTAATAAATGAATAATGGAAAGGTAAAACGTACATCATATCCTCTGAGAACAGCCAGATGGAAGGATATGAGCTGCAGTGGAATGACACTGAGGATGCCCTGCAGACAGTCCACTGTTTGAGGCAGTTCAATGGTCTTATATGCCATTTTACTGATCTCTGGGTCATCCTGGCAACATAGGATGATGGGGCGGCCCTAAAAGATATAGACAAGATATTAGTCATCATAAAGTGTTGAATGATTGGACATATTTCAGATTGTTTTAAGGAAATTGTTACTTCTATTCAGGAAAGATGCATTAAATCTATCAAAAGTGACAGTAAAGACATAATGTTACAAACAAATCTATTTCAAATTTCACTTTCTATTCATCAAAGATTAGAAAACATAAATCACAATTTCCACAAAAATATTAAGCAGCACAACTGTTTTCAAAATTGATAATATAAGAAATGTTTCTTGAGCATCAAATCAGCATATTATAATAATGTGTAAAGGATCATGTGACACTGAAGACTGGCGTAATGATGCTGAAAATTCAGCTTTGCCCTCACAGGAATAAATTACTTTTTAAAATATATTAAAATAGAGAACAGCTATCGATTAAATAAATGCCTTGATGAACATAAAAGACTTCAAAAACATTTTAAAAAATCTCAGGAGCCAAAGTTTTTAACAGTGGCATATATTACTGGTGGACGGTTTTATCACATTATAATTGTTACCTGTCTGGCTGTGATCTGTTGCAAGGCATTGTGGCACTTTTTGTAGCAAGCATCTCTCATGATGATCATGATGACAGGCATATGCTTGTCAATCAACGCCAATGGGCCGTGCTTCAACTCTCCAGCCATAATGCCCTCTGAGTGCATGTACGTGATCTCTTTAATTTTCTACAGGGTACAAAGACCAAGAAAATGTGATTGACTACACCACGCTTCTCATTATATGATCAGTTCCTGGAGATATTCCTCCAGCTATATCCTGCATCATACTCACCAGAGCCCCCTCTAGGCAGGTGGCGTAGTTGTAGCCTCGACCCATGACTAATAGAGACCTCTGATGGTAGAGCTCATCTGCAATGCTTTTGATTTGGTCATCAAGAGCCAGAACTTCCTTGATCAGCTCTGAATGGAAGGCAATGTCAAAGTTAATCTAATCTCAAAGCACATTTGAACTACTGCAAAAAATACACAATACACAATTATGTAAAATACCCACCTGGCAGTTTTTTGAGGCCGTTGATGATCTCCAGTCTTCTCTGCTGCATTGAAAGCCTGTCTTCACTCATCATCAGGGCAAACATGATCAGAGACACAAACTGACTAGTGTAGGCCTGCAGATAATCAGAAGACACAATTAATACGAAATTTGCACACACACACACACACACACATACAAAGGACAGGGGGAGAGACAAACAACATATAATATAATATAATATAATATTCATTCTTTATTTATATTTGTTATTATTAAGCCAAAATGTTAATTTTCATTGGGCTCTATAGTACCTTAGTGCTGGCAACTCCAACCTCAGGCCCAGCATTGATGTGAACTCCACAGTCGGTCTCCCTGCAGATGGAGCTGCCAACAGTGTTGGTGACTCCCACAGTCAGTGCCCCGCGCTGCTTACAGTAGCGTAATGCCATCAGAGTGTCTGCCGTCTCACCTGATTGAAAGACATTATCAATATATAAAGCAAACAACTTTTTCAGTAGCATTGACATGCATGTGTTAGTGTCATCAACCAAAAAAACCTGCTGCACCAGTAACAGTATTTTACTCTACTCGATAAAATCAAGTTTTATGAGTCCTCAGAAATGTTATCATTCATATTCAAGTATTACTTTTGAACGCAGAATTTGACATCCTGAAAAATCTGAGCAAAGTTTTAGACATCTTGAGACCTCTAAAGAAATGAATGTACTCTTTTTTTCTTAGGAGAAAAAACATTGATTCTCATTGCTGAGAAACAACTGAGATATCTGTTTTTTTTATTTGTTTGTTTCTGTCTTGTGGCCATCTGGGTATCTGGAGATTATATCACCTCATGCACTTATCATTGTGTAATTCAGTGCCATATCAGTTCAAAGGTTATTATTATCAATGCTTTCCTGAATAAAAATCATGAGACTGACGGTAAAGAGCTGCACTTTACCCGACTGGCTGATGAAGAAACAGACATCATCTCTGAAAACGGGTGTGATGCGGTCTAGGAAATCACTGGCCAACTCGACCATAACAGGAAGCTCAGTCAACTCTTCAAGGATCTGACGTGTCTGTGCAGAAAATCAGAGATAATGCTGTGATCATGAGCTCAAGTCAGGGAAAACGTACAGTCAGCTGGTCAGTGAAATAATGCTGAAGTCCTTCAATACGAAATCGGTATGTTGCCATGGATGACAATCAAATATACTGTTTACCAGTCAATTTACAGTACAAAAAAAAAAACTGTTCAATGTCACTCTTAGCCAGAATAAGGTTTTCCAAAGAGCCTTGCAATGAAAATGGATAACACATAGCTAACACATATGCAAAAAAACATCTCATTCTTCCATCATTTTCATCTTTAAAGCAATAAATTGTTCTCCGTTATGTTCCAGACAAAAAAATGCAAAAACATACTGCCACTCCTGCATGGTAACTGGTTCCACAGCCAATCAAGATCAAGCGTCTGCATCTCTTGATCTCCTTCAGATGGTCAGACAGGCCACCAAGAATAACTGTGCACACAAATGAAATTGGCCTCAAATGATCTGGTTATAAAGCCTCGTTCAGACTGTCAGCCCAAATCCAATTTTGTGCATATCCGGATGGAATCCGATCTAGACGACTGACTGTCCACACTGTGTATCACAACTGTTCAAATCCGATTTGTGTGGACTACTATCGCAATACAGATATTGTCTTTCGACATGACAACATGTTGCCGTCGCGCTGGATTATTATTATTATTATTACATTTTTTGAGGCAGCATCAGAAACGCAGGAAGCTGGAATGTGCGACTTTATTCCGTGCTGCCATCTCTGCTCGTTTCAACACTCAGAGAGGCGAGTACACTAGCAGTATATTGTCCTTTTCCACTTGACTTAAATTTCGCAACAACACAAGCTTGTTTCTGCATTTATTATATTTTCTACAAAAACGTCTGACGTGTTTACGTTTTACATGGCGTGAGAACGTGAAAAGCTACGCTAAATCCGATCTGAGCGGTCAGACTGAAACGGATTTCCAGGAATGCGATTTGAATAGGATTCCAAACCACATACGAATGTAGCTCAAAACGGATTTGCACAAATGGGATTTCATGTAGTTCAGTTGCTGTTCAGACTATCTAAATATGATGGGATTTCAGTCGGATTTGGGCTGACAGTCTGAACAAGGCTTAAGATTCTTTTTTGCAAATAATGTTCAGTTTCTTGCATAGACTGGTTGTTTCTCTTCATAAGATGTCAATATATTGTCAGGAGCCACGAGTATTAATTTTGTGCTGACTCTCAAAGTTACGGGGTCCATGGATTTTTTTTTTTTGAATCACCAAGGACCATAGTTTCAGCAAAAAATCGTTTTTAATGTTTTAATGAAGAAAAAAAAGTCACCTAGTAAATTAACAGCAAATTTTCATTTTTGGAGGAACTATCCCTTTAAGAATGGCTCTAATTTTCTATCAAATCAGGCTGCACTTTCAGGGTTGCGCTACAAAAGATGTAGCCTAATTTAATTTCACATGGATGTTCTGGCAAAGTGGAAGGTCATGTTGTACCTGTGTTGCTGTCAAAACAGATTCTGCCTCTCATGGTGTTGACGACAGATTCAGGCTGCTCAAAGATCTCCTTCTGCATGAAAGCCTTGAAGTTACCTAAAGGTATTAAACAGTGTGAGCACAAAAACAAAACTTTGCCTACTGAACTACTGTACAAAAGTCAAGGTGACATTTGGCATGAAAAGTCATTATTATCAAACCAAAGACCTTGCAGATAAAAATCGAAAGAACTGATGCAGAGACGCCAATATGACTGGAACTTTTCCAAAATTGTCCTTTTGAGTTCCACTGCCAGACTAACAGCAAATGGGTTTGGTACATTACTTAGTACACAGTGTCAGAATTAATTTTTATCTGAACAAAAAACAATCTGTCAAAACCGTTCAGAAACGTAGAGCATAGTGCCTGCAACACCAAGGTCATGGGTTTGATTCCAAGGAAATGCAAAGACTTATATGTACATACTTTAAATGACATTTTGAAGTTGTTTTTTAAAATTGTATTTTATACTTTATTTCATTCTTCAGTTTTAATTTTCTATTATTTACTAATAAATTCTCAGTGGTCAGGCGGTTTTTAAAAATTCCAAAAATTTAAATTCTGTCATCATTTACTCACCCCCAAGCTGTCCCAAAATATATTTTGAAGAATGCTTGTAACCAAACAGTTGCTGATAGCCATTAACCAACATTCTTCAAAATATCCTTATTTGTGTTCAACAGAAGAAAGAAATTCATACAATTTTGGAACAACATGACGGTGAGTAAATGAAATTTTAATTTTTGGGAAAACTATCCCTTTGGATGTTGTTTCAATGGTGTTAGTGTGATCTGGGACCTTTCATGATCTGCTGGAGCTCCATCTGTAGGGTCTGAATGACACGGACGGGGTCTTCGCCTGCTTTACGCTTAATACGGTGCACATACAACTTCCCCTCCATCACCACGGCGACATCATCGTCCTCCAGATAAATCACCTTGTTGGTGTGCTCAATGATGGCACTGAGAGAGAAAAATAAAAGTAAACACGTATTTTAGTTTTACTATCACAATCACATGTGTAATGAGGTTATGTGGCCAGCAGGGTGCACTGCTGAGCTGACATTTATTCAGTTTGATGTCCATTTCGGTTAGTAACTGGTATGAACTGTTTAACCTGGACATCAGCAATCTTTAGGTTTCTTAATGAGAAACAATAATGCTAATGTTAATATTACACTGTCGAATGCTCAAGATTCTACAATGTAATATGTGTGTTACCTAGCATCAGAGGCTAAGTAAAACTCCACTGCCAGTCTGTCATGGACTGAGTGTAAGGCATTGGTGCTGCCCCTTCGGTTCAGTAAGTTTTTCTCCTGTTCATTTGTCCTGGAATCACCTAGAAGAGAAAGGAAATAAAATCATACTTCTTAAAAAAAATTAAATAAAATCGGTGAAATATTATCAGTGAATTGTTGCTTAAAGCAGGAAACAAAGTCAGGTGATTTAATATTATACAATGAACTGACTTTTCTGTTAGCATACAGTTAAAGTATTAATTAAAAACAATTGAAATTGAAATAGAAAATTAGATGTGTTTACTTCATAAAAAACATCTTTAAATGTTTAAAAATAGAGCATTGTAACATTACGGTTATATTACAAACAGACAATGACAACTGTCATCATAAAGAAATGTATTTCGAAGTCAGGCTTGGGCTGGATGCCACACGCCTGTCCAAAACCTCAGCCCAAAATGTGCCAGACGTCACCATGATGGCAATGCTGCCTTTTGTCTTTTTTTCCTAAGCCTAACATTGCCCTAAGCACATTCTTTGCTTCTGTGGCAAAACTATGTGGCCAAAAGTATGTGACACCTCCTTCAAATTAATGGTTTGGCTAGTCTCCTCAATTCCGGTTGAGACTAATCTTAATGTTACAGCATACACTTCCATTCTAGAAAACTGTGGGTTTCCAACTTTGTGGCAATAGTTTGGGGAGGGGAGGGGGGGTCTTTTCTTTTCCAGCATGACTAAATATGTCTAAATGGGAGCAAACCCCAGCCAAATATAATACTATTAAAGGGGTCCTATTATGCTTTTTCACTTTTTGAATTTTAGTCAGTGTGTAGTGTGTATGTTTGGGCATAAAAAAGATCTAGAAAGTTACAAATCTCAAAGTTCACTCCAAAGGGAGATATTTCATTTTTTAAAAATCCTTTTTCAAGAACTACAACGAACGGCTCGTTTGGACTACAGCGTTGTTTTCCGGGGTTTTGTGATATCACAAAGCGGCTCATTAGAATATCATTCAAATAACTCCCGCCTATGGAAATTCGAATGGTTGAGGGGTGGGGAGAGGCGAGGTCGTGGTTAGAACGCTTGGTTGAGGGCATCAGACAAGACGATGACGACGAAGAAGAAGTGCTGCTGCAGAGTTAGTGCATCAGAGAAAGCCAAGAAGAAGAAGAGCTGCTGTAGCGTCAAGTTTTCGCCATGTCCTCCATATCCGTGCATGCAAAGGTTCTGATCCTCTTGTTCAATATTCTCGGGGTCTGAATCCGGCTCAAATTGATATGGCAATATTGACGCCATCCTGAACTATACCGGAGCAGACGGAACTTGGGCTGTGTCCGAAATCGCCCCCTATACCCTCATTCACCATTCCCTACATTAGGTCACTAATTCAGTTCACTAGAAGGAGTGAATGAAAACGGATTGATTATTCAGCTGCGGGCGCCATCTTCTGGCGACATGCGGGAATTCATTCGGCGCGTGACTCTCACGGTAAATTATGGGCATTCTCTAGCCGTTGAGCGCGCACCAGTTGTACACTCGTTTTTGCAGTGCATTGTGGGATTGAATGAGTGCACTGGAGAACGTCCACTATGGTTTCGGACAACAATAAAAATGGCTGTCCCCTCAAATAGTGCCCTATTTAAGGGTATAGGGGGCGATTTCGGACACAGCCTTGATGCATTGGCAAGGGGCGGGGCAGTACTGAAACACTGTCTAAGCTGTTCACCAATCACAACGCACTGGGACAGCTAACCAATCACAACACATTTCGTTTTTCGGAAGGCGGGCCTTCATCAAACCCGGAACTAATTGAGCCGTTTGTGCCAGGCTGGGGAGAAAAGGCATCTTAATAATGTAAATTATGTGAAAAATAATGCAAATTTTCGAATCACCAAGCACGAGAGCATGTTCTAGTACACCCCCAAAACAAAATCAAGACTTTGTAAAAGAGCATAATAGGACCCCTTTAAAAAGTTTGGGGTTTGCCAGATTTTTAAATGTTTTTGCAACACGTTTCTTATGCTCACCAAGGCTGCATTTATTTGATCAAAATACAGTAAAAACATATATTTTTGTATATAACAGAAATATTTTGAAATATTATTACAATTAAAAAATATATATTTAGACATTTTAATATAATTTTCTATTTTTATATAAATTTTCGAATCACCAAGCACGAGAGCATGTTCTAGTACACCCCCAAAACAAAATCAAGACTTTGTAAAAGAGCATAATAGGACCCCTTTAAAAAGTTTGGGGTTTGCCAGATTTTTAAATGTTTTTGCAACACGTTTCTTATGCTCACCAAGGCTGCATTTATTTGATCAAAATACAGTAAAAACTGAAATATTTTGAAATATTATTACAATTAAAAAATATATATTTAGACATATTTTAATATAATTTTCTATTTTTATATATTTTAAAATATCATTTATTGCCGTGATGCAAAGCTGAATTTTCAGCAGTCATTTTTCAGTGTCACATGATCCTTCAGAAATCATTAGGATATGCTGATTTGCAGCTCAAGAAACATTTCTTATCACTAACGATGTTGAAAACAGTTGTGCTGCTCAATATTTTTTGTAGAAACTATGACCATTTTTTTTCAAGAATATTTGATGAATAGAAAGTTCAAAAGAACATGTTTTATTTAGAACATGGATCTTTTGTAACATTATAAAAGTCTTTACTGTCACTTTTGATCAATTTATTGCATCCTTGCTAAATAAAAATGTTAATCTTTCAAAAAAAACATACTGACCCCAAATCTAGGGAGGTCCTACTCACTATTGATGCAAATGCGAATGAAATGTTCAACAAACAAATACAGTATGGGTGTGGTTTTGGGGTGTTCATATACTTCTTGGCCGCATAGTGTGAGATAACAAACTCACTTCTAATAAGCAGAACTGGTTTGAGAAGAAGGGATGAAGTGAGCCGGACTTACCACAGTTGTACTGGACAGGGATCTGCTCTGTGGAAAGCTCATACTGACAGCGCACGCCGATGAGCAGTGGACTGCCCCTCCTGTTTGAAAAAAAGATGAGATAAGACCGATACATTTTCTAATGACTACTTATGCATAGCATGCTTTGTGTGTGTAAAAACAGACAGAGACAACAGATAAAATCTTTAAAGACATTTAATTTCCTTTTATGCAAAAAAAAAAAAAAACTGATGTTGCATAAAAAAATGATTCTTTTGTTGTTTTTATGGAACAACAGCACACCTGCCGGACTTTGCCCTAGTTTCAATGTGCAGTGCCTCTGCTCTTCCATTGGCTGAGTGAATGGTGTTAACATAGCACTGCTGTAAACAAGAAACCTGTGTTGAGGAGAGGTTTTTCACACTCTCTATTTAATATCCTTGTTAAGGTTCCCCCCCTCTGTTTGAGGAAATATTTCAGACCTGTCCTTTGCATGCACCACCTATCTTGCTTGGCGCAGCCCCACAGTTCCTTATGCTGACGTGCCAAATGGGTTCACACCAGAGCACTTTCTCAGTGCTTACTTAGTTTGAACTGGTTGGGCAGTTGCATTTCAGTGTGCGTAGCAAGCTAAATGTTCAGTGTATTTTGGAATTTAAATCTGAACTAGCTGGACCAAGATTTATTAATGAACCACGAGCAACAAAATGTTGATAGTCAACACCCAACAGCACACTTTTGAGATGATTTTGCTTTGGGGGTCATGTGTAGTCAAATGATAGTCAAATGAAGGTGAGACAGAAAGTAAGAGAAAATGGAAGTGATGTGCTAATGTTATTCTGTTCTTTGGGATGGATTCTTCAAAAGAGCATATGAAAAATACAAATAAACTTGGAATTTAGGATTTAAGACTGACTACATGTTTACAGTTTTAAGACCGACTACATTTTTACAGTTTACAGTGTTGTTTTAGTATTAATTATACACCATTATAGTATTTATTGTAGAATTAGCTATTGTAGAATTAGCTTTTATTTTTATATTTCAGTATTTTTATGTTTGTTTATATAGTTTTCATTTTATTTAGTTTTTTTTTTTATTTTGTTATGTGCTTTTGTCATTTTTATTTCTATTTAGCTTTAATGTATTTTTTTTTCAGTAATTTTTTTTTGTGCTTTAACTTTCAGTTAGTTACCAAAGAAGCATTTATATAATTTTCATCTAATATTTAAATATATTTTTTATCAATTAATGAAAACATTACTTGGATATTAGTATTTTTTTTAGTTTTAGTTGTAGTTTCTGCTTTAGTTAACAATAATAACAATAATTCACTGAATGTGAGTGGTGTTTGTAAAAGTTACCACTATGACTCAAGGGTGTTGTGGAAGCATTTGTCAGGGTGCTAATACTGTTGGTGGTTGCTGGGGTGCTCTGGATGGTTACTAGGGGGTACTAGTGGGTCCATGAAAAATGAATAAAAAAAAGATTTTACAATTCTTTAGGGCTATCACAGTTAATGTGTTAATTTAAAGCTTATCTAAAATGTGAATTCTGTCATCATTTACTCACCCTCATGACTTCCTTCTGTGGAACATAAAAGATGCATCTTTGAGAAATGCTTCTGTGTGTTTTATTCCATACAATAAATGTCAATGGGATTTGTATGGACAAAAAGATCCTTCAAGATATCTTCTTGTTCTATAGAAGAAAGCCATTTAGGTTTGGAATGACATGAAAGAATATCATTTCAATAATATTTTAGCAATTTGTTTTAGAAAAATCTAAATGGAAACATTGAATTTATAATATCACACTTAATCCCTCGTCATATTTGGGGGTTATTGGCATCAAAGAGTTTGAAAAGCCCTTAGCAAACACTGTGAGCATATTCAAAGCAACATCTCCCTCAAAAGTTCCATGAATAACCTTTCCAAAAAGTCTCTTAGATGGTGTAAAAACAGCGAGATCATTTTTAGTGTCTATGCAGCAACCCACACTGATGGGTCCTGCAACATGGCCCGTCTTAAAATGTTCCCTTCACAGCAGGACAGAATTGACCAAAACCAACAACACATTCGTTCATAATCAGAGACAGGCAGATGGGAATAATTAACTCCGGTCTTGGCTTCAGTCGATTCAAAATTCTATATACAGGGTCAGTGTACCAACCAAGCATGGTGAAATAACCCTTCATAAACACCTCTGTTAAATCCCTGATTCCTGGACAGGCACCGCTTTTTTAGAATTGTAACCTTCTGGCTCCTGTTCACTGGCATGTAGAGAAATAATGGGGAAAGGTTCATCTCAGAAGATAGAAAGAGCAAGAAGGGAACAAGGAAACTTGAGTGTGTTACAGTTTCAGAGAAACCATAGCTCTTACTGACCTGGTGGCAACTGCCTCTCCTGGGAAATGAATGCTTTTGAAAACCAGAGCAAATGCCCCTTCCTGAGGAAAGATAGAGAAAAAAAACAGTGAATGAGACAAATGTTCGTCCGTCGGTGAGGCACAGGAATAGCTATGATATGGATCTAAATGGAAACATCATTATTCTGCTGAACAGGCAAAGGTAGGGTCTCGCGTTTCTTCGGCAGCCCCCCTCTGTAGCGCAGCTCAGGATAAGGCCTGGAGCAGAGGCCCAGAGAGGTGGAGGGGGCACCGGGGAGCTGAGAGGAACAGAGCCCCACAGTGAGGGTTGAACTTAAGGGAATAGAGGCCCTCTCAGTGTGCTGAGGGAAATCATATTTGCCCCTACCTCCTCACTGAGCCTCTCCTGACTCGCTGCCCAGCACACAGACACCAGTTCTCACATATATAACCCAAACGCACTGATACACGACTCACTGTGTAGACATTTTATGTCTACGTGCTTATTAACATGCAGCCTTTACATAGGCTATTGCTCTATCTATCTACACACACACACACACACACACACACACACACAGAGTATATGTACACTGCCATTCGGAAGTTTTAATGTTTCTGAAAAAGAAATCTTTTATGCTCACCAAGGCTGAATTTATTTGTTTAAAAAAAACATTATTGCAAAATATTATTACTATTTTTATATATTTAAAAATGTAATTTATTCTTGTGATGTCGAAGCTGAATTTTCAGCAGCCATTACTCCTGTCTTCAGTGTCACATGATCCTTCAGAAATCATTCTAATATGCTCATTTGGTGATCACAGGCATTTCTTGCTATTATCAATTTTATAATATTTTGTTTTAGTATTTTACATCATACATTTTATCTGGGGAAAGCGGATTGTAACCTTCTGGCCGGTCCTGATGTATAAATATATATTAAATATATATATTAATTTAAATAATTTCTAATTATTTTGCAATACAATAATGATAATTTTGGGGGAAATGTGCTTAACTGTCATGAAAATAACAAACAACTATGCTTAATTTACTTTATACAGCAAAGTATGTCTTATTTACTGCTCATTTTGAAGTGAAGTCTGACATGTTCTTGAAAGGCTACTCGAGATTCACCACTAGGTACTTCAGATCAGTGTATTTACTGCTGATAATAAAATATCAGGGAAAATATTTTTTTTTTAAGTATTAAGTGCAACTTAATAAGTTTCCTTCCAGAAGCCTTTATTTTCAGTGTGTGTGTCTTTGCAAAGTTAAATGCGCAAGTGCCCGAGCCTGTTTTCAATTAGTCTTGTTTCTCCTCTCTCGTCTTTTTCAAAGCAGGCCAGTTAATGTCAGTTAATGGAAACCTGTAGCCGCCCCATAAGACACAACTGCACACCTTAAACGTTATCATCCTTTTATCTCACAGCCTTCCATCTCTAAGATGGCTGCCAAAGCAGGTTAGATAGAGAGCAATCAAAATTTAGTGTAATCAGTTTACAGAAGAAGCCATAAAACATAGAGAGTCCCATATGGATGGTGAAAATGGTGAATGTCACAGAGCCATTATGATGATAGGAAGGTTGGGTGTTTTATAAATCCTTGATAAAGACTAGATTCCTGTCAAGAATATCTCAAAGGGCACTTCCCTCGCTCATACAACGTCACTGAACAATGTTTGGATAGTGCTAAACTTCCCAGCAGAGGATATTATGGCCACGAGAGTCGTCCAAAGGTGCTGACAGTGTATCATAAAACAAGGTCCAGCTGTCCACATTTGAAAATCTAGGTTATATCAGTCACCTGGAGATGAAGAAGAGCTGTTTGACACACTATTATGTGCTAATAAATGTTGCTATTGGTTATATAACTGACAATGAGGAAGACCAAAATCAATTTGTCAAAGACGAAGATGCTTACATGAAAGATTCATTAAAATACAGTTAGTTGGTTCTTAGCTAACTTAGCTAGAGAAGAGGATGAATGCAGAAAAGGTTTTTTGTTTTTAAGCTTTTGTAAAGTTTTTTATGTGCTGTCAAACGATTAATCGCAATTAATCACATCCAAAATAAAAGTTTTTGTTTACATAATATATGCGTGTGTGCTGTGTATATTTATTATGTATATATAAATACACACACATCCATGAATATATTTAAGAAAATATGTTTTGTTTATATATAAAATATTTATATTTATATATAATATAAATTATATACATGTAAATATTTTTAAAATGTATGCATATTTTTAATATATAAGTATGTTTGTGTATTTATATATACATAATAAATATACACAGTACACATGCATATATTATATAAACAAAAACTTTTATTTTGGATGTGATTAATCGTTTGAATCACTAGTCTTACTTGGTTTATCTGTGAGAACTTTGAGAGACTGACTACAACTATCATGGTGAAAAACAAGTAACTACCCCTCATACAGAGAAGTAGGGGAGAGCGGGGCACAAAGTAACACTTTTTGACTTTCTCAGTTTGTGTAAATCCACATGGGGTTCAGAATATATATTTTTTTATCCACAGTAATTTTACACGTGTCTAGTACAAATATGTCGCTTTGTTTCATGCTTACAGTGTATACGTTTTTCTTTATTTACCCTCAAAAAATGGAAGTGAAATGTGACAACATGCCCC